CAAGTGATTAACTAACATACCTTTGGGTCCAGGTGTTCCCATGGCTCCTTTCTCACCTAAAAGAAACAGAGGCAAATGCTTAAAATAGACTAATATTGAGAGAGAGAGAAAATTCTTCATGTACATTCAGTTGGAAGGAGATAATCAAAACTTCTTATCCAAGGGAAGATTCTGTACATCTAAGACAGCTTTAATCTAACCCAGTTATCTGTACTGGAGAGTGCCTCAAATTGGAGTTATCCTGTTCCTATGCCTCATATTAAAGTCTTTTCTAATATGCTTCAGTTCACACTTTGGAATTATATCCCCTTTTCTATTTGCTCTATGCAAGATCCAGTTGTAGTGTAGTGGTTAGAATACCGGACTATGGTCAAGGAGATTCAGGTTCAAATTCCCACTCTGGTATGAAGTTCACTGGGTGACTTTGGCTTAGTCACCCTCTCTTGCCCTAATTTACATGACTATTGTGAGGATAAAAGGATGGGAGTGGACCATACATGTAACTCTGAGCTTAAGAAAGACAGGATTTTAAAAGATCATAAGAACACATAGACATTATATAAAGCCAGTTTTTAGAATAGTCACTCTCATCACTCAGTTACTTATATAATTGCTTTTTTCCTTGGCTTTTAGTCTGGGAAAATGTTGCCCAGTCTTCCTCTGTCTATTGGTCCAGCAACCTTCTTATACTTGGGAATCATGGACAAACACAGTAATTTTTTTCAGTAGCAACACCAACAGGAATATATGAAGTGCTGGAAAGTCATACCTTTAATACCTGGAGCACCTGGTTCACCTCTGAATCCTTGACTCCCAGGAGGACCTGTGGAAAAACAAGATCAGAAGGAGTTTTATTTTTCTCTCCCTGTCTTCGTTCATTATGTTGTCATTGAGCCAGGAGAATGTAACACGCAAAATCAATACGGTAGTCTGCTATATTTTATTATATACCACATATTGAGAACACAATACTTACCAATGGGACCATGGAGACCAGGTGCACCTGTCATACCTAGAGAAAAAACATGCTTCAACTGTTTAGAAATGATGTTATTGAAAAGTCAACAAACAACATTGGGTCTGCCAGCATGTCAGGGTACATCCTTGTAAGTTTTGCAATTTTACATTTTGTATTCAATGATATTTTTATAAAGTTGAACTATTAGTGTTCATATAACTAGATAAAGCAGATCTCTTGCACTCTGAGTCTGGACATTTTAGGACGAACTACTCAACAATTATTGACATTGGCATTCTTGAGGGGACAGGTCTTTTTTGTTTTTGTTTTTAGTTTACATTAATTTTGCCCTCAGTGGTTTAGGATAAGTACATTTTCTTCATTTAAAAACACCGACAGAGGCATACAGAGAGTTAGGGCTACCGATTTCCTTAGACACAGTCACAGTCAGAAAGCTATGATAGTTGGCATTTTTAAAACTGAAATGATTCTGTGATGTCACATCTGACTGAGATTTGCAATTTTGAATACAAAATTCATAATATGAAGAACCAAAATTTGATACACAATTTTTGAGTGAATGCCCCTCCCTCAAATTTGGTTACAGAAACACAAGCATTCAGAGACATGACTAAAGTTTTGGCACTGAAACATTATCTCTCCCTGCCATCACCACTAAAATTATTTTCACAAAATGTTGAGTCTTTTAAGAAATGATAGATCAAAACGAATGCATTGGTCTTGAGACAAAATGATTTCATTCTGAATACCGCCCGACCATTCCTTCATAACACTAGAAAGTTTTTTAAATAAAGAAAACCCCTTTTTATCCACCCAGCCCAGCAGTTCCCATTCACACCTGTGCTACTTTTAAAGCCAAATTCCAAATACCTTTGGGGCCAAATGGACCTACAGGACCAGGTGGACCTTGAAGTCCTTGATCTCCAGCAGAACCTACAGAGGGGGGAAAAATGAGACAAATCCATTAGAAAACCTGCTAAAGTTTGCTTCCTTCTGGCTTCATATTTATGCCCTGAATACTGAATGTCAGCTACAATACTGTTATAATTCCATAGAACGTTAGTGGGAAGGTGCATTGCTACCAGACCCCTGGAAATTGTTAGCTAACATGGAGGCCAACCGGATGTCAGGTGGTCCATGAGGCAGTCAACTGACCTCACTCAAGGATATTAGGACTTGGTTGAGTTACAGTTATGCAGCAGTGAGGAACAGCAATTGAATAGTATTTTAAAGTAAAGGTAAAGGTTCCCTTGCTCGAAAGCCAGTCGAGTCTGACTCTAGAGTTGCGGTGCTCATCTCCGTTTCAAAGCCACTGTCCAAAGACGTTTCCGTGGTCATGTGGCCGGCATGACTAAACACCAAGGCGCACGGAACGCTGTTACCTTCCCACCAAAGTGGTACCTGTTTATCTACTTGCAATTTCTTGCTTTCGAATTGCTAGGTTGGCAGGAGCTGGAACTAGAGACGGGAGCTCACTCCGTCATGCGACAACTCGGGTCTTGAACTGCTGAACTACTGACCTTCCACAGCCTGCAGTTCAGTGTCTTAACCACTTGAGCCACCGCAGCTCCTTGAATAGTATTTTACAAACTCGTTTTTTCCATCACCCATCAGTTCCATGTGCCGGGAATATATTTGATAGCAAACAGAACTCTACGGACAGATGAGATAATGTATTGTTTTCCCTTCCACAAAACAAACCACCAGATGTTTTTGTCTTACTATAGCCCATTACTCATCTGAATGACTGAGGGTTGGAAGCCTATTTATTAGTATCTGAATAGGATACAGTTTTGATTCCCAACCCTGTTTGTTTCTATGATTAATGAATAAAGAGCAACAGAGAAAGAATTATTGCAAAACAAACAATTCTTTTGACCACGAGTTCCAGACCTTCTGACATGATGTCAGACGGACATATGCCACAGACTCTTACTGTCTTTGGGGCAACAATATCTCAGTCATCTTTTTACTTGTTGAAACTAAGGAGGTCCAAGCACTTACATCATAATGATCATACTCCTGCCTTGTGTAAGACAACAGTTTTCAAACTGTGGTTTTAGAAACCCTGGGGTTCCCTGGAGGTATATAAAGGTTTCTTTCCCAGAACACTGGTAATGATGGACAAGCCTTCCTTGAAAGTGAGCTTGCCCACTGATAATGAACTTCTCCAGTAATGTTTAGATGCATGAAAGAGTCAGATGTATTCTGGGATGCAGTCTCAGTCTACGTGGGACAATAAGGAGCTCCAAAAGGTCTAGGGGCAGTTCCCGACAACTTGCCCCAGAGTCCCTTGCAATGCTCAGAGATTCCTTGGCAGACAAGACAAATTGGAAAGTGTCCCTAAATATATAAAATTGAAAAACACTGATATAAGACTTTCAGAAACCTGAAAAAAAATCTTATTTGGAAGAAAACCCAACAATTCTGCAGTCCTCATGGATATCATTATGTTCTGTGGGAAAGGGCAGAATAATATTTTACCTTTGTCACCTTTCTCTCCAAACCCAGGTAGACCAGGCTCCCCACGAGGACCTGGGGGTCCCTCTCGTCCTCTTTGTCCCATGGGCCCCTCCATGCCAACTTCACCTGTAGAGAATAAGTAGCTGAGGATCCATATTCCAACCTATGAACTGCCCTGCTCAATACACTTCAGTGCTCTCCCTGACCATTTCCTCAGTAGTGAAATTCCCCACATTGACGTTTTTAAAACTGCATGTTATGTGAAATTTTCCGCAGTAGATTTTTCCTCACCAGGTGCAAACCTGAAGTTTTCTCCTTCTTACTCCACGGGCGATTTCTCACTAGAGCTGCCTCGCAGCACAGCGCCGTTTGCCCGGACACAAGCATGTCAATTTCACACCTGAAGCTCCGGGGCTGCATTTTGACTCGGGGCTTCGCCCGATTTCCTCCGCAGTTTCATGATCCTGGTTTTTGAGGATCATGAAACTGCAGAGGAAATCGGGCGAAGCCCTGAGTCAAATGCAGCCTCGCCGCCTCGGGTGTGAAATTGACATGTTTGTGTTGGGGCAAACGGCGCTGTGCTGCGAGGCAGCTCTAGTGAGAAATCGCCCAAGGTTTGTGGAACTTGCTAAAACGGAGGTTCTGAAACTACAGGGTAAGAAGGAGAAAACTTTGGGTTTGCACCTGGTGAGGAAAAATCTACTGTGGAAAATTTCATATAACACGCAGTTTTAAAAACATCATTGCGAGGAATTTCACTACTTCTGAACTGCAGTTGTCGCAGTCACATCACATATTGATGAAAGAATCTGAATTGTGTAATGGGCCCAGGACAGTTATAATGGTTGCCTTGTTCTGCTTACCCATGTTGCCTTTCTGGCCTTTTTGGCCTTCAGGCCCAGGGTGACCTATCAAACCTGGAGCACCTGTTAAGAGAAAAAAGAATATTAAAAAGAGCTGTGTCACTTCCTACACATTGCTGCTTGGCCACTTAACAAAGTTCAAAGCCAACATTTGTAAAAATGATCTGGATTTCAAAATTCAAAGTTCAGACTCCAGATCTTCAGTGAAGAAAGCATGGTGATCTCTTGATTGGATTTTGACTGGATTCAGTGTCAGATTTATGGAATTTGTTATCTGATTTTGAGGATCAATAAATAATTTAACCAAACCAAAATGGCTTTATTATTTCAACTCCAGTATCACACATCTGATTTTCAGTATTTGAGTTCTATATGTTATGTTGTAGATTTTCAATACCATATAAGTTTCATTGCAACAGAAGTCCAATGTGCCAATCAAGAATTTAGTTGTAATGAGCCTAATTACATGTTATGGTTCCTCTGGGACATCCCTAGGTGGGTAGAGAGGCATGTTCTAAAGTTCTGTGTTTCCCGGGCACGTGAAGGATTAATTTAGACTGGGAGCCTGGTGCCCAGAGGAAGAGTGCTGAGATGCCTGCCTACATCATTTTCCCAACCTGAAACAGCTCTGGCAACTACTATGTGTTCTGTTGTAGAAACCAGGGCTGCCTCCTATGTCTCCCTTCCACCAAGTCTTCCCCTAACCAAAAAAAAAAAAAGACTTTCTTAATCAGAAAAATTATTTTCTCCCTTGAAGGAACACTTAGCAGAAGGAACCCGTGAGATCCGGCTTAACTAAAAGGAGTCATAATGTATAGCTCATCTGATCACAGTATGTATTGTGCCAATTCTCTGCTTCATATTTCCCTTCCTTGAAAATGCTGGTCACAGACGGCCACTGGAAGTGAGTTACATGTATGTTATATCTATTTTGATCCTATAATGTATTGAGCATCTCAAGAGATGGCTAAACTATTCCCATGAGTGTTTGAGAAAATGTTATGTGTGATCATTCCCTCCATTATCACCTTTCAGATCTGCATTCAAGTTTTAGCATCAATAAACTAAGCTTAAAGGCATACCATCAGGTCAACAGAGACTGGATGTTAAAATGATTGACCCCATACTTGCTTAACTGGAGGATTCAGGGCCAAGCCAAGTAACGGCCAGTTTCTTTCTTTCTTTCTTTCTTTTGCACAAGCACAGTCCTTGGGCATAGGAGAGAGTGGTTCAATCCTAAAATGGTCATTGCCCCCTGATTGTGTCCCAGAGAGTTAGAAAACCCACAAATATTGGCCCAGCTGACTGTTCCAAGCTTTGCCTACCTGCCATGCCAGGAAGTCCTCGGTCTCCTAAAGAAACAAAGACATAGAGATTTAGTGATGGCTCTTTGTTGTTTCCACATCAACCTTCTATGGGTGACTATAGTTCAACAGGAAAGCCAGATGGGACACATGTACCTTGTGTACCTCCTTATTGGTATTTGTAATGTTCAGTAAACTGCTTCTCGTCCAATTATACTCCCTGCTAGCATACCTTCCAATAGCTGACAAATGGGGGGGGGGGGGGGGATACATATATGAAAGTCCTCACTTCAAAATTTCCCTACTTCCGGAACTGTTTGTTGGTGTATTATACAGATCGTGGCATCCACATTTCTAAACTCTTCACATACGGACCAAATTAGATCTGGTGGGTTGTACAGGGAGGGGTCACAATGCTTATTTTTTTCCCTTGGGGCAATTAAAAATATGGTACATTTTGCCACTCAGACTAATTAATCTTTGTTCTACATACATTTATACAATCAGGTATATCTGTAAAAGTTCATTACAATAGTGCAATACTGATTTTGGTATGGTATGTTTTGGTAGTTTTGGACACACACAAACTAGAAAAAATTCTTTCACATCTGTTGTTAGAGGACACATGTATTGGAGAATATTGAACTCACCTTTTGATCCTTGGATGCCCATATCACCTGAAGCAGAACAAAATGAAAACACATGAATAAGATTTATTTCCAGCCTATGCTCATTCTATCTTCTTCCCCATCCCTCTCATACAAAGGGTGCTCATGGAAAGCAAAACCCAATCCCTCTCTAAAACAAACTACTTCTCTAAAGTAGGCTGGGCTAGTTTGTTCTCCACAGCAATCCTCTCTATTATTTCTGTGGAGAGAAAGAACATTCCCCAGTGATTTTTTAAATTTTAAACAAAGATCACACCTGGTTGAGGAATGTAAGGCCATTTAAAATTGTTTTTGAAATTGTCCTGACTGTTACAGCTTTTGCTGAAAAATAAGTCAGTCTTGAGACTCCTCATAGAACTACAGATCCATGATTGAGAGTTATGGCAGGTTTTTTTTTTTTTTTAACAAAACGGATTTAAACTTGTAGAGTTTAACATGCTGAAGAGCCACTCACAAACAGTGGCTCAGTGACAATGTAACAAAAAGTAATTAAACATGAATAGAGACCCACATCAAACACAGATGTGGCTAACAGGTACCTTTTGGTCCTGGCTCGCCTCGGAAATAACCTGTAAAGAAAAATATAATGCCACTCAGATTTTATTATACAAATTATAACAATAACAAAGCTTTTCATAACTCTTCCAGTATTCAATGCACTTCACAGAGATTAATTTGTTATAATCTTTGCAACATCTCTATAAATTAGGTTAGTATTATTGTCCCCATACTGCAGATGGGGGTGGGGATAGGAATGAGAAAAAGAGGGTTGTCATCTAGTGAGCTCATTCTCTTAGCCACTACGCTACGCAAACTCCCTAATAAGGCAAAGCTGTTTCTGGCACAATATGATGGTAAAAAGCAATGGGATGGAAAATAAGTTGCTTTGGAAGCAGACACATTTGTACCATGGCTCATATTTATGCTACTTTCCCACATCACAAAAATATATGGCCAAGTACTATCCAGTTTTCATCCACAATTTTTAAAAACAAGACACATCAATCAAGATGGCATCTAGGACTGAGATATGTGGTAGCCACATTTGCTCCTGATTTTTCCAGAATCACATTCCCCAGTACAGCAGTGTATTAAGGAGACGAGTTTCCTCAACTAAGCCACTGTTGGGAAAATGGAATGAATGTTCTACCTTGGGAGAATTAGGTATACATTTGCATTGTGGAAAATTCCAGAAGAGCAGCCATGTTGGTCTCTGCCAGCAGAACACAAACCATGCCATGATCATCCTAGAAATGGAAGTACAGGAACCCATCCACCAGGTGCTGGCAACCCCTTCCTTCTTAGCCTGTTACATGTACCTCATGAAGCAGGCTGCTGCCTGTAAAAGCCCCTCTGTAGGATGCTACAGCATTTTTCAACTTTTTATGCCTGGTAAGCACTCACACTGCTTTCAGTCCAATTTATGAACAGTTTATGGGGGGGGAAATTAATAGGACTCTGTAGGAAACTCATTACACAGAGGATGTGAGAGCAAAAGCAAAGATAAAGAGCATAAGGTTAGACAGTGGTTAAATCAGAGTGAGGGATTGTGAGAGAAAACATCATAACCAAAAAGGACTTGGGGGGGGGGGGGCC